TTGTTTTTGTATCCACACTTGTTTTATCTGGGAGGTCATCTTTGTATAAAACAAATATAACCGGTTCTAGTACTGATCCTTGTGGAGTTCAACTGCTCATTTCCTTCCAGCATGATGCGTCTCCATTTACTGTTACACGTTGTTTCCGATTTAGAAGCAATGCCTTTATCCTGCTCGTAATTTTACCGATAAAACCGTACATGCCCATTTTATAAATGAGACGCTGGTGGGGATCTTTGTCGAATGCCTTCATAAAGCCACAATACAGTACATCAATGCAACCTAGTATGTATCAAGAATTTTCATCCAGTCATCAATAACTTGGATTGATTGTAAAACGGTGGACCTTCCTTGGATGAAGCCAATGTGTCTCCAGCTGAATACTTTATTGATCTGCATGTAATTGATTATGGTTACCCTTACAATTGTTTCTAGTACTTGACAACATATACAAGTTAAGCTAATGGGTATATTAATACTGGCTGATTTGCGGTCTCCTTTTTTGAAAATGGCTGTGACACTATAGCTTACTTCCACTTTTCGGGAAGTGATTCAGTTTATATTGAAGTGTTGAAGATTATGGACAGTGGTAGACTAATAATAGAGCTCTGTTCATTAAGCACTCGCGGAAGAAGGTTGTCCTGACCTGGTAACCTTGATGTTTTTTTTAACTTTTCAACTGTTTTGGAGACAATATCGGAGATTCATCTGTTATACGGTCGACCCTGGGCATGTTCTCGTTTGTTACCTTACTAAACAAGCAAATTCGTGGACTTTATATCCCCCGCTTGCAGGACATATTGTAGGTTAACATTATTGAGGTTAGGTTTAAACATGTGAGTATCGTGCTGTTGAGATATAATGTATTGAAATTTGAAGTAAAAAATCCCTATACCTCATTGATTATCCGTAAATATGCACAAATCACATCGGTTGTAAAACTTAGCATGAGTTGGATGTGCATAAGGAATTTGGTTGAAACATCTTAACAATATCTACAGCAACAAGTACTACCGTAATTGTAATGGGGGACCATTATAGATGTACCCCAAACTGCCCCCATAGTCGCAAAGATGCATCAGAAAAGGATCGCATTGCCATAGTACACCTACAATGTACATACTAGTTTTGAGTGAAATTGATCAATTTCTAAATTGCAACCAATCAGGATCCTCTGTGTAGTTGCTATGAAAACAGAACGTATGCGATTTGAATTTGCAGTCCCCTAATACCCCTATATATCAATTTTCATCGAAATCAAACAATATCTAAATTGTGACCAATCAGAAGCCTCCGTGTGGTTGCTATGGTAACGAAATTTATCCGGTTTTATTCGCAGTCCCCTAATATCCCTAAATACCAATTTTCATAAAAATCGAAAAGAATATCTAAATTTCGACCAATAAGAAGCCTCCGTGTGGTTGCTATGGCTACGAAACATATGCGATTGAATTTGCAGTCCCCTTATACCCCTCTATAACGAATTTCATCAAAATCGAACAATATCTGATTTCCACCAATCAGAAGCCTTCTTGTGGTTGCTATATGGTTGCTGTGGAAACCAAACATATGCGGTTGATTCGCAGTCGCCTAATATCCCTATATACCATTTTTTATCAAAATCGAACAATATCTAAATTTCGACCAATTATAAGCCTCCCTGCTGTTGCTATGGTAACGAAACTTATGCAGTTTTATTCGCAGTCCCCTAATACCCCTATATACCATTTTTCATAAAAATAAAAGAATATCTAAATTTCGACCAATGAGAAGTGCCTCCATTTGTTTGCTATGGCAACGGAACCTATGCGGTTGAATTTGCACTCCCCTTATACCCCCAGATACCAATTTTCATCAAAATCGAACAATATCTTAATTTTACTTCAATCAGAAGCCTTTGTTTGGTTGCTATGGCAACGAAACCTATGCGGTTGAATAAGCAGTCCCCTTATACCCCCAGATACCAATTTTCATCAAAATAGCATCAACCTGGGCATTTTGGTTATTCAGAAGAAGTTTTTTTAAGTTTTTAACATATTTGACCCGTGATTTTGAATACTGGTGAAGGTCATTAATTTGAACAAACTTGGTAGCCCTTCATCCCAGCATGCTTCTGGCCAAATAACATCACCCTAGGCCTTGCGGTTTTTAAGAAGAAGTTGTTTAAAGTAAAATATTGAAGCCAGACGCCGGACGACAGACGGACGACGGACTTTCACCAGGAGATATGCACCAGCGTTTTCTAAACATCGAATTACTTAATAATTGATATATTTTTGTAAGCAAGTAAATGTTTTATGTAAAATGAATTGATGTATGCCGATATGCGCACACGTGAGTGTCATGTGTGATCAGATATTTCAAAGGAAACAAACAACAAAATACACATTTTACGCAGTTTCTTCTTAGTTTTAACATCATTGTACCTGTAAACAATACTTATGAACTTACTAATAATAAACAAATTACATTGTACAAAAATCCTAAGAATCAAAAAATGTTTCTGCGCCTAATATTTGAGTAGAAGCTTTTTTGGGGATTTTCAGCCTCAAAAATTACCTGCGCAAATTACATAGGTGCGCAAATTACATGGGTTTTTACGGTATATAAGAATCGCATAACTATACACTATACACCAACTGCTAAAATTTGAGATTCTTATGTAAAATTAACTGTCAAAATCGAAGACGGCTGCCTGTCAGCCATTTTGTTATCCCAATCAGTCTTCTACCATTACGCGGCCACCATCAATAAACTGATTATTCTGCCACTTTTGGATGCGCATTTAAGTTATTTAAAGAAAAAAGAGTGTATTGTGCTATACATTCAATATACAGCGTAGTTCAAACATCCTGGACAGTGGTCTAGTTTGTCTCAAGTAGGTGAGTCTTGAAACATTCAAGACTAGCAACACTGGTGGTGGTATATGTGGTAGGGCATTCCAGTCTCTAATTGTTCTTAAGTAGAATGATTCTTTCCGCACTTCTGTTCTACACGATGGTACTTGGAATCCGTTGATGTTGATGTTTCGAGAAAGTCTGTCTGGTAGTGAGAATGTTTTCTGTGTCAACATTGACCATCCCGTTTGCAAGTTTGTACATCATTGTGAGTCTTGATATTCTCCTTCGATCTTCAAGGGTTTTCCATTCAAGTTGATTGAGCATGTCGCTGACAGATGAGGTGTTCTGATATCTGTTAGTAACGTATCTTACTACTCTTCTTTGTACCATTTCCAGTCAGTATTTGTTGTTATGCTGGTAGGGGTCCCAGACTGTACATCAGCAGTTTCCTTAATTGTGATGTTATTGATGTTTAGGTTCCGTTTAAGGAATCCTATGGTCTTGTTTGCCTTGCTACATGTTTTTGATATGTTTGTTCCTTTTTATGTCTGAACTGGTGGTACAGCCAAGGTATTTCTCAGTCTTTAGGGAGTCAAGAGTGTGGCCATGCAGTGTGTACTCTTTCGCTATAGGTTTGTGTTTTTATCGGGGTGAAAGGCCATTTTCCATTTTTTTCCAAAATTGCCAGTTTATTGAGATCTTCTTGTAAGTGGTCACCGTCTGTATCTTAAGCTATGGTAAGTTATACTATTGTGTCGTCGGCAAAGAGTGTAACCCTCGAGCGAACTCGAGTCTCAAAGGGGGAATATATATATCAAATTTGAGAAAGATCCCTCCGGTATTTTCTGTGAAAAAGCGATAACAAATCATATCAAGTACTTCCTGATAAATAGGGCTAACAAACATTAACTCTGAAATTTCAAGATGGTGGCCTGTTTTTTCTTTTTATCAAACCCAAAACAGAATTTGCATATCTTGTGACAATGGGAAGCCTTCATGTGAAGTTTGAGAAAGATCTCTCCAGTTCTTTCTGAGAAATAGTGCTGACAAACTTGAACTCTCAAAATTCAAGATGGCTGCCTGTTGGTCATCTTGGTTTTCTGATCACATCCACAGTTTAATTTGATATGCATAAGTATAAGGACCATGGGTAACTTTCACCTGAAATTTAAGAAAGATCGCTACAGGACTTTATGAGAAATAGAGCTATATAGCTAGGGACCATCGGGTACCTTTGTAAACGTGAAATTCTAGCTATATCCCTCCAATTCTTTCTGAGAAATAGCGCTAACCACAGACGAAGGGCAATTTGAACAGCCAACCATCTGATGATGGGATTAAAATATATTTTCAAAAGTTTTACTGTCAATGTCACTCAATTATGTCCAAAATATTGCAAAACTGTTACCACTGATAATATGTGCAATCATGATTAGAACGTTGTCCATCCGTTAAACAGTTTCTCATGTTAGAAACATGGTCAATCTGTTACGTTCAATATCACAACAAGATATCATGATTACAAACATCATCAAAATATAACTTGATATCACACCATTATCTTATGTTTAAAATTTTAATAATGTTGACATGTTGATGAAATTGTTATTGTCTGCACATTTATATCACAACCTGATCTTTCACTTTAAACATTAATAATCTGTTACTGCAGTGGTAATATAGTTATGTGTATGTATACTAGTCTGTGAGATATCCCATTCTTTTAATAACGGTCTATGAGGAGATATTTGTTACAGTCCGGATTTTTCTGGCACTGTATTTCAATTAAGTGTGATTGAAGGAACAAAATGGCGGCAGACGTAAACCGAGTTATTGCTGTTTTATTGTATCCAAGACTTACTTCCAAGTTAATTCCATGAAGAAACCAAGCAGAGCACAATGTGATAGCACAAGTATATATAGAGAATGATACATCTCGGGTTGATACTTGGTGTGATATGGAAAAAGGCATGTTTTATTCTGTTTATTACATATTTACTAATAAAAACTACTATCTTTTGATTTATTTTTATTTTTGAAATATTGAAACACGAAAAAAATTCCAAAAGAGGTGTGATATGGGTTTTGCGGGCTGATACGGGTTTTGGGGTGTGATACGGCGGGGGCTGATACAGGTTTTGAGGTGTGATACGGCGAGGGCTGATATGGGTTAGAGCAATTGTATCGTGTCGCATATACAAAAAAAACGTATTTATCAGTAAGTATGTAATAAACTAAAATACATGTTCTTAACATTTATAATGATATGACATATATATGCATACAGCTACTTACATACATGTTCCAGGATGGGAGGTAACTCATGTTGGAGATGATTTCTACACTGCTGGGTTTCATACCATATTTAAATTTTAGAATATGGATTTCATTCTTTCTATTTATGTTAAATGCAATAAAGAAAATTATATCTCATCAGTCTGATTTGTTTGGTTCTTAATACTTTTTAAACAAACTGTTTTAACAAATGAACATGAAGCGGAAACCATTGGAGAAAATCTGTCTATTTTATAATATAATTCACAAAGGATTGATCCTGCTAGACAGTAATAGTAGGAGAGAAATATCTGAACATCCTCAAACTCAAATCCATTCTAATCTAATAGTTCCAACTGGTAATTAATAACAACATCTTAAGTTGATAAGTTTTTTCAGAGGAAATGTATATGGAAATGGAAATATTATTTTACAACATTTCGTTACCACTAGCACAAAATGAAATAATCAAATGTCTGAGATTCAATTTCGTAAGAAATATTTTGAACAAACCATAGATACAACCATTTTACTGTCAAGACTAACAAAACACTGAAATACAGTTCACGTCTTATCAGAATAACCAAATGAACATCATTGTGGAAATGAAAACATTATATAAACATGCATGTTAAATTGCTGTAAGTTTCATATGCTGCTACAATCAAAATGTAAAAGTTTGAATTTTAGACTTTCAGGAACTAGATTTGACAAATTTCATCATTTTGATTTGTGGTTTGTCTGGATCAGTGTTGTTGGAGCTTTCCTCCAGTTTATGTTTTGGAGCAATGTCACTTTTCGCGTCCTGTCTCCCTTTTTCTTCCGTTCTTGCTTCAGATGAAACTGGTTTGACCTCTTCTTTTGTCTCTCCTTTATCTTCACACTTTTCGGCAGAATCTTTCTCTTTGGTATCACCACCATGAAATCCAAGTCCTATGTGAGCTCTTGGTCCTGCTGCAAATTTATGTTCCAAACCATCTGTGAACTGCTTCTCTAGATTGCTTGTCATGGCATCTGTGTCATTCACTACAGAACAGGAATAAAACTACATTCAAATAACATTCAAATAACAAAAGACTTTGTAAGCATATACAGATCTTTACATTAAAATAAATTAATACTTGTAACTAAAATATAATACAGTCATTACAACAGACATTGGTAATATTTAAGAGAAGATTTCAAACATATGTTGAATCCCATTAAAAAGGTGAGTCTATAATCCCTCAGAATTCTGCATTGTAGTAACCAATGGTGTCCGCTTTGGGCAGAATGTCAATTTCTGCTCCTTCACTTCTTCAATCTAAATATGAGGAAGTGAGCACATAAATGTGAAGGCAGAATACGACAGAGAAAAAAAGTGAGAAAAAGAAGCAACATTAGTATCGTTCTCTCGCCTGTGTTCTCACTACCTTGCTCCTTCACTTCCCAAACCAGACACCATAGAAACACTGAGACATGCATAAATCATCAATCACTTGTATCATTTGGTATATGCTCACTGGTATTTCCAATTAAAATCATTTATACTTCACCAGTGTGACAACATACTTAATTCTTTTCAGAAAGACTAAGCACTCATTTAATTATCTATTTGTATGTGTATTCAGTAACACTCTTGATATGATATGTATATAATAATCAACAGGAAAACATTAAAAACCTCTACAAACTTTCCATAAGGAAACCCTGTAATCATTTTACGTAAAGTTACAGTTATCGACTATATATCAACAGCTTGTTTGTGAGATACAACACTTTGATCTACTTACACAAGAAATACGACATTAATTCTAATTGCATATGGCAGATTTTTTACCACGAAAAAGTAATGGTACACTGTATATTGCCCTTGTCGTAAGAAAACAATGAATCATGTTTCTGTACCACATTTAGGCCATAAACATATTATTATACCAAATAGAACGATGGCACAAGAATTAAAATGATGAGGTGTATGTGCCATATTGTAGCCAGGTGCTTCTTTCCCTCAGAACTTGAGTGTGATTCCTCTTGCTCATTTATCTAAGAGAAGCTTGGTACTAACTTGTTCTTCCATGAGATTTATCTTGATCTCCAATAACAAATCTGCCTTGGTGCTGGGTCTGTCAAATAGATTACAAAGTAATATTTCATTAATATCTGTAATAGAACATCCTATCATCAAATATACGTAGACAAGTTTTTTGGGTTTTTTTAATGTCTACACTGTAACTTTATCTATCATTTCAAACTGACAATATCAAAACTGATAGTTAAATAAAATAACACTGATTAAAGCAAAAGTATAGGGGTGAGAGGTACTAGATTGCTAATCATATTAAAGCATGATGGGGACTAGAATTTTTACGTCATTTTTCATGCATATTACAAATCTGTGGACAGTAACTTTATATGTAGGGTAATACCTTAGGCTTTGCTGCTCCCATAAGTCTAAGGAATTTCTTCTTACGGTCATCATCTCCCAGTTCTACCTTTTCCCAGCTATTTGCTGAGTGTACCTGAAACATAAACAAAAGACACATTTACATTACAACTTACAAACAAGAGGACCAGAGGGCCTGTATCGCTCACCTGGATATCTAAGCAATCATGGCAAAATATTCTCCAAATGAGATCCAAGGAAATATGCCAGACCCCAAGGTCAATCCTTGTAGCATATCTGTATTAGATTTTTCATGCCCAGCAATTTTATGTGTGGTTATGGAGTGGGGATCTCAACTGTTTCCAAGCTGTGACTCAGAAACTGTTGCGGCCAGACCCCAGGATCAATTCTAATATCATGACTGCATTTGTGTCTTTATGCCCAACAATTGTTTATATATTTTTGGGGTGGGGATCTTAACCATTTTGAAGTTATGACCCAGGGGTTAAGTCTCCTAGGGTGGGGAAGACCCTGGGGCCATCCTGGAAGCATATGTGCATTCATCTCTTTATACTCAGCAATTGTATATATGGTTATAGGGTGGGGATCTCAACTGTTTCCAAGCTGTGACTAAGAAACTAGGTCCCTCGGGGTTCGGTCAGACCCAAGGGTCTATTCTAATATCATGACTACATTCGTCTCTTTATGCCCAGCAATTGTTTATATGGTTATACGGTGGGGATCTCAACCATTTCCAAGTAATACACTTTTTTGTAAATCAGACATTGAAACAATAGAGCATGCACTATGGGAGTGCAATCAGGTTCAGAATTTATTAACAAACTTTGAGTTTTTATTAGATGTTTTGTTTATTCCTATTGCTTTTAATAAGGAAACATTTATCTTTGGGATATATGATCAAACCAGAACTCGATACATGGTAGATAACCAAATTATTCTTATTATAAAATATTATATTTACAAAGTAAGATGCCTAGAAAAAGCTCTATCAGTATATGGCCTTATAAACTGTATAAAAGAGACTTATGAGATACAGAAATATATTGTGAATGGGAAAGATGAAAAACATAGATATACCTTCCAAAAAGACTGGGAAAAGTGGCAAAACCTTCTTAATATCCCTTAAAACCCTCAATTTCATGATTTATATGTAGAAAACCAATTAAGGGGTAACAGTTATAGATAGGAATACTCTAAGTATATTGAGCTGATATAATACAACTGTTACTGTACGATCGACAGGTTAATGTGATAAATTGTTCTTCTGTAACCAATCTCCATCCTCTCACTTTTCTCCTGCACATAGTTTACTATTCCTGAAGACTGTATCTCATTTTCTCGTGCACATAGTTTACTATTCCTGAAGACTGTATCTCATTTTCTCCTGCACATAGTTTACTATTCCTGAAGACTGTATCTCATTTTCTCCTGCACATAGTTTACTATTCCTGAAGACTGTATCTCATTTTCTCCTGCACATAGTTTACTATTCCTGAAGACTGTATCTCATTTTCTCCTGCACATAGTTATATGAATCAACAAGATTTGAAATAGAAATGGCTGAGGATATTTCTGTAATTGACTGTATCAAAGTTCCCTTTCTTTTCCTTTCCCTCTTCTTTCTATAATACATCTGAACATCAGAATACATTTAAAAAAATTAAGAATGTATTTCAAAAGAAAGTATGAAAGGTGTGAGAGAGATGATATGATATGCTTTAGCAAATTAACAATCACATGTGAATAAAATTGGTATTTTTGTTTATTATGATGATGATGACATCAATATGATAACTACTTTGTATCACGATGAATAATGATTTTACTATTTTACAATGAAGATGATATCAGTTAGAGGTTGATGATTGCATGAGTATGATAATGATGAAATCAGTGTGATTATGATGATGATGATGATGATTTTAGTGTCTTGTTGATGGAATTAGTGAGAGTATGATGAGGATAGGATAACTATGAAGAAGATTATGTCAATGTCATGATGAAAATGTTTGGGTAATGATGAGGATGATTTAAATGTCATATGATGAAGATAATGATACCAGTTGATGATGATGATATATATATATAATAAGTAGTATGAGAATAATGTTCATTTCAGTCACGATATTGATGATGATGATAATGATATTAGTTTGATGATGACAACAGTGTGATTTTGATATTATTGTGAGAATGATGTTGATTTCAGTAATGATGATGATATTAGTTTGATGATGCTGACAAGTGTGATTATGATCGATATCATTGTGAGAATGAGGATGATTTTAGTCGTGATGATGATAATAATAATAATGAAAATGTTTATAGCAATTGGATGATGATTTTGTGTCATGATGGATATATCAGTGGGATGATTATGATGATGTTGAAAATGATGATGATGATGATGATAATGATGATTTCAGTGTTTAATGTCATGAGGATGATGATAATGATGATGATGTCTGTTTGGAGTGTCATGACGATGAAATCAGTATGATGATGAGTTTACTGATGTTAGGATGATAACGATGAGGATGATGTCATTGTCATGATAAAGATATTGGAGTGATGATGATGATGATAACAAAACATTATGAAAAAATGATGAGTGAGTATATGTGAATGCAGTGAGCGTGCGAATGAGTGTAAGGGATTATGGGAAAAAAATGTATCTATTTATGCATAGTTCAATTCAACTAGGGTCCCATTCGCATATCACGGTTGAAATATTTCACCCTAAACGTAGTTGTACCGAACTGCAGACAGAGCTAAAAAAAAAAAAAAAGTTGCAGAAAATAAATAACTATATACTGTACATGTACTATCTATCAAGAGTAATATATGTCTTTCTTTCACACATCCACTAAGCCGGAGTTTCATCTGGCCCGAACATCAGACTTAGACACCAGACATCTATATGTCAAGATGTCAGGGCCAGAGGAAACTCGGGCTAACACCCACTAAATTATATAAGGTACTTCAATCATATGGGTGGATTGACCTTGGTTTTATAAATAAACAAAGCAAACTAGCGACAGTCAGCATTTTAGTTTCAAACTCGGTTTAAATATGAGACTGTCGTTTTCAACTAGTTGAACCGGTACGCGAAAGGCCCCTCGGAGTTACCTCCCCTAAAGTACAATTCTGCAAATCTTTCTCGCAACCAACCAAACCTTATTGGCAAAACATATGCACGTTTGCTAAATATTAAGAGGATTTATCAAAACTGTATCATAAATGTTCACTTTCTGAACACTATTTTTATTCGTGTGTACAAGATGGTCGTGATAGTTAGTGCAACAACGTTACTGTCTGAATCAGTGAGTGAATGTCCAAGTCACCCCCCCCCCTTATTTTTGCCTTCCAGTGCAATACAAAGGCTATGTTAATCATAAAACATGGAGCACTATATGCGTTTTGTATTATGTTGACCTTTTTGAGATCTAGGCATTCCTTTGGCCTTGTGGAACCAGTAGAAGCTTCTTGTGGATCGGTGTTAGTCGCTTCGCTCATGGTCGTTGTTGCTTCTCGAACTGTGTCGCTTAAATCCTTACAAAATGGATCTTTGTCAACCTAATGCTTTAAATTTTGTTTTAAGAGAATCGGCTATTATATATAATTGTATGAATATAAAAAATCAAGAATATCTCCATTTTCGGAAAACTTTAGTGTCCCTTCAGATTATTTCTACAGCTTTAACAATCCAGATTTCTTACTTCTGTCGCTACCGCGCTTGTAACAAACACACATATCAACGGGTCCTACTAATTACAGCCCGGTACAGCCCGGTATAGCCCGGTACAGCCCGGTAGAGCCCGGTAGAGCCCGGCACAGCCCGGCACAGCCCGGGACAGCCCGGGACAGCCCGGTAGTGATATATTGACCGCCCGGGCGTTTGTCTCCACTTATACACCATAATGATTGTATTTTTTGCATTGTTTGTAACAGTATGAATGTAGTGATCAAAAAATGGTGAAAAAATCATTAAATTTGACCGAGTTATGGTTATTTGAAATTAGTAACATCGCAACAAACCGCTGGAGTAGAGCCAGACAGTTGTTATTTGTAATACAAACACCGCCCGGGCTTTCATCTGTGTAGTAAACTGTACTGAAGTAACTTATTTTCATATCTTTAGAAACGAAAAATACAAAACTTAAAGAAATATCAAAATATGTTCATAATTAGCCAAGTTATTGTAATTTGAAATTAACCAACACTGCAGGACTTGTTATTTACAATATTAGGACTGCCCGGGCGTTATCCTGTAAAGTTAATTTAATCTAAGTACTTTACTCGGGTTATTTAATGAATGAGAAACAAAACATAAAAGACAGTGTGAAAATATCTTCATCATAAAAAGATTTATGCTGACCTAACTTTAGATACTTCGTTACATTACGCTGAAGCTCATATCACGCGACATGTGTTATTTGCAGCATTGGGACCGCCCGGGCTTTCATCTTTACCTTTCAGCCAATAAAAACTCTTTATTTGTTAAGATGTGTGTGTAACTAACACAATGCTGAAAAAATGTTAGAATATATTAATTATTGGCGGAGTGACAGTGTTTTGAAATTATAAATTCCTCAAGCATACGCTACTAATTGTTATTTGTAAAATCGGGAGCGCACGAGCTTTCATCTTACCATTAGCTAGACTTTTAAACTTACCAGAAAAAAACGTTTAGCTGATATATATATAACACCAGTGAAAAATTAGGAGAATACGTTATTTTTGGCATAGTTATGTTGTTTTGAAATTAGTCACTTCTCTTACTGCTAAAAATTACGCATGCTATTTGTAATAACGGGTTTGCTCGGGCCTGAACCAGTTTCATTAGCTCTACCAATTCAGTTGTTAAAGTATATGTATGAAATTTTCACAATTCTGAAAAATGTGAGAGTATGTTAAAAATTGGCATAGTCATGGTGTTTTGAAATTAGTTACTTATCAACTGCTGAAATCATGCGTGTTATTTGTAATATTTGGTTCTCCCGGGCTCTCAGCTTTATCGTTAGCCAATAACAACTCTTGATAATTGTTTAGTTAACAAAATGCTGAAAATGTTAGAATTATTAGAGGCGTTTTGGTGTTTTTATATTAGATAATCTTCAGCCATAGGCTACAGCTGAAATCACGCTTTTTATTTGTAATATCGGGGTCGCCCGGGCGTTCATCTCATTCCTTTAGTTCCTGATACACAAATTGCACCGGTGAAAACAATTAGCCGGTGTTAATTATTGGCACAGTTATCTTGTTTTGAAATTAATTACTTCTCAACCATATATAGTACCGCTGGAAATCGTGTTATTTGTAATATCGGGTTCGCGCGAGCTTTCACCAGTTTCATTAGGTCAGCTAAAACTATTCAGTTGTTAAAGTATATATGAAATTAACTAAATTCTAAAAGAAAATTGTGAGTTTA